CCAAAAATTTTATAAAGTTCCAAGGGGCGAGCCAACTCTCCAACATTTTTCCTTTAAAATAAAAGATGCATTTCCCAAAATCTTTTACCCAGTTATTTCTTAAATACATTTTTGGTTTTTTCATACGTTTATTGTTTTGACCCCTTTACTTTCCCTTTAAAACAGGCTCTCTAAAATTTTTGACAGAACTTAAAACCCCTTTAAACCAGTTACTGTGTAACTATACTCTTCTTTTCTTTTTGGGGTGTGGGTTTTTTCTAACCCCTGGGAACTCCCCCCACAACATGTTCACCACGCAACTTGAAAATAGATTTTTAAAAATTTGGCTCCAGTATCACACTTCCTCTCCAGCCCCCAGATATCATGGTCCACAAATGGTCCCACATCATCATCCGGGTTTGGGGTTGATGGCACTTTTCACTGGTCCATACCTCATACGACCCAAACAGGTCTGAAACTGAAAAAAGCCCCCGGGGGGGAAAGATCACCATCCTCCCCAAGCCAATAGCCGGATTCCAGAGTGCTTCCCCATCGCAAATACAAAGAAAGAGATCCTCTCATCCCATTGTCAGTATGTCTATACCATAGGCTTATTTGTCTTGAGGGTTGAGTAATTTCTCTTTTTTCCCCCTTGGATGGAGATGATACACAGTTGAAACTGGACTTATTTTTTACCCCTTCAAAACTTTCAAAAAGATTTGAGGCAAAGTTACCCCCTTGGTCTTTTTGCACTGCTTGGGAAACCAAAAATGAAAAAAAAAACTTCATCAAAACCCAAAAGATCATGGCAGTTATCTTTGCAGAGGGACTGCTTCCGGGTACCGGTAGTGGAAAAAAATATTTGTAGAAATAATCATTCCCAGTTTGGCCTTGGGAAGGGACCAAGTACATCTACTACCAGCTTGTGAAGAGTTCACCTGGTGCGGAAATACCCGAAGGGGAACGGGTTAATACTTGACTGGGTTTCCCCTTAAATTGAAACAAGACGGGGTTAAAAATTACTCTCGACAGTCCCCACAGCTGAGCCGAAGAAATGCCGGGAAACCTTGGAATCCCCCATCTGGGGATAAAACCCTTGTTCTCCTTCCTCATACTGCAAACAGAGGTGAATTCTTGTAAGAGTTTCCTCCCTGAAAAGAAAAAATTTATTTAACTGTAAAAACTTTCCCCACAACAGCGAATTTTTTTGCAAGAAAATAATTGCACCCTAGCAGGCGCAGCCTCCTCCACATTTAACTGATCCCATTTCCAATCATGCTCGCTCTGGCTGGAAAATCCTTTTCTTCAGTTTTACTGCAGTTCAAAATCAGAAAGCAAATTACCAAATTAAGCCCCCCACCATCCCCATGAGAAATATCATGAAAGTTGGGGGCATGATTGAGCCCCTACTTCTCATGGTGGAACCATCAGGGAGAAGGTTGGCAGGGTTTTCCTAGCCATTTCCTCCCAAATTTGGGGTTTGGTTTTCCCCCCAACCCAGTTGTTCCTACTGTCTAAAGACCCCCAAAATTATTCCCCAATAAGGGGTCGACCCCCTTTTAAGGGGAAATTTTATTGAGATACCTCAGGGGGGATAGCCAACTTGGTATGCAGATTTACCCTAAAAATTTTTGTACAGGGGTCCTTTGGTTGAACCCCCTTACCCTTCAACAATATTTCTACTCCGTATAGGTATCCTTGACACTGGGGAGCACTCCAGCACGTAGCAAAGAGTATGGGTACATCCATCTCTCAAAAGTAGTTCTAAAATTTCCCACATCCTTTTGCAAAACCCAAATGGGACCACTAGAAAAAAATACCCTCCTGGGGTTAGATCCAAAGGGTTCCCCCCACTTGCCTTGAAGACCTAAGCCGGGAATGGATGTACTCTGCATTAAGCCCTGGGGTGGTTCCTCCCTTTCCCCGATTCACCCCCTTGACCCCGCAAAACTTTTTAGTGTGTCCCGTTTTGTTACAGTAATAACAGATAAAAAACTTTTAAAAGGGATTTTTACCATTTTGGGGTAGGATGGGACTGTTTACCGAGGACCTGAAACATTATCTGTTGTCAAAGGGAAACTTTGAACTCCAGCTGACTTACCTTTTCCCTTTTATTTTTTAGGGCACCTCGCCCTTTTTTGTTCCTGAAAAATTTTTGTCCCCCTTACCTTTTCATAGGACTTGGAATAAGGTTTAAACGGGGGGGAAATTTTCAGAAGCAGCATGACTTTTTATTACCAATTTCCCCGCGAGCCAAGAATCGGGCACCTAGCCCCCGTGCTTCGAAAATTTTTGGGTTTTTGGGCCTCCCCAAAAATTCTCTGAGGGCAACAGGGATTGATTGTACAATTCCTCATGAACCATCAGATCTCTAATTTTTATGTTTTATTAAATCCTTTAGAAAAAAAAAACCCACAAAAAAAAAACAGTTTCTCATTCCAAACTCAGTTAAGGTCTGCCCATCCTGAAAAATTTTTTATTCCCGAACTTTTGTTAATTCTCAGGGATCATTTGGTATGAAGCAAAATTCCCCTTTAAATTTTTCATAATCAAAAAAATCTTGCCCCTCCAAAGTCCACTCTTGGAATCCCTTTTCCCACAATTGTTGCGAACTGGGTAGCCCCTTCTGTTTGGGCCTCCCCTTTCCCCCAAACGTTTTTTAAAAAAGAAAAAACTATCTGGGTCACTCTCTGAAATTGGGGCAAAATTTTTCAAAACTTTATTATGTTTAAAATATGCTCGGGTTTTCTGAACCACTAACCTTGCGTTCTTTCCCCTTAGCTTTCATTAAATTTTATTCGCTCTAGTAAGCTAATTTCAGTCTCATTTTCTCCATTTCCCATTCCCGGAGTAGGTGATCCCATGTTACGTTTAAAAGGTGTTTACTGATGAATTTTTACCTCTCCCTGAAGCCTAAAAAAACGAAAACCATCTTCTGACATAGTTTTATCTTTAAACACTTGCTTCCCTCTTACAATCGTGGACAAGTTTTCCCACAGGCCATAAAATAAAACAAATTTAATGTAAACTATGCAATGACTTACCCTAAACCAAAAAAAAATGTGTTTTCCCCCTTTTTCCCACCTTAGGAGAAAAACAACCTTAAACAAAAATATGAAAACAACACTTCCATGACCCCCTTGGTAAATCTTTACCAAAACATGAACTGTTATTACCCCATACCGGGACATATAGTTCAAAGAATGTTTTTGGGTTTTTTTAGCAGTCAAATAACTCTCCCGGTCAAGTCCCTGTTACGGGTTTGTCCTTTATTTTTTGGATGGTAAGGTTACACATGTTCTAGTGTGGGGTAGCTTTTTTTTAAAGGGCCTTATTTGTTTGGGGGAATACTTATATCATGGCTGATCATCTTGAGGTCTTTTGATCCCTTTACCGCCCTCTTTACAGGTTTGAAATAAATACTATAAAAATATAAAGTATTCTCAATTGTAGTACAGAATATACAATCCAGCCTCCATTTTCAAAACAAAATTACAACCCCCCATCCTGGCCCCATGGTGTGTGCAACAATCTTGTCCTCCACTCTTTTCCCGAACAAAACCCGGGCTAACCAGTGTTTTGACACATTTTTGTCACCCCGGGTTTTGGTGGCCAAAACTTTAAAAAAAAAAAAACTCACCCCCGAGCACAATATCCCCCAAAAGAAGGAGAAGGACCCCGAGATCCTGCCAGGGGTTTAAGGTCAGCCCCAGAGAGAGAGGAGGAGGGAGAGAGAGAGAAGCCCGGCTAACCTTCCCACCCAAAAAAAAAGACTGTTGCAAACACAATTCTCCTTACCACAATTCTACCACACCCTTTAAATTTTACTTTTACAAAAAGAAATACAAATTTTAAATACTTTTTTAAAATTTTGGTTTTTGTGTTATATTTAATATTAATTGAAAAAATAGGTTTACCAGCGCCCTCAGTCATAAGGTTGATCAGTCCTTCTGACATTTAGACAAGTCCCATCAATTCAAATAATTAGGTATTCTTTTAGTAACTGTTACTTATAAATCATGTTGGGTCCTATAGCCCCATAACAGTGCATATGGGGTTAACCTCTAGTGATGGTGACAGTATGGGTTGTATCATACAGTGTGTGGTTCCTTTTTTGTGTAACACACAGTAGGTGGTGACAGTATGGTGTACATACAGTATGATTGACAGATTGGGGGTTCACTACAGAGGTGGTGACATATGGTGTAAAATACAGTGTGATGGTGAAAATATGATGTATCACTCGTAGTGATGGTGACAGTATGGTGTTCACTACAGTAGTGTGGTGACGTTGGGGGAAACATACAGTAGTGATGGTGACAGTATGGTGTAACACTACGGTATTTATGGTGACAGTATGGTGTATCATAAAGTAGTGATGGTTTGACAGTATTGTGTATCACTACAGTAGTGATGGTGACAGTATGGTGTATCACTACAGTAGTGATGGTAACAGTATGGTTTAACACTACAGTAGTGATGGTGACAGTATGGTGTATCACAACAGTAGTGATGGTGACAGTATTGTGTATCACTACAGTAGTGATGGTGACAGTATGGTGTATCACTACAGTAGTGATGGTGACAGTTGGGTATCACTACAGTAGTGATGGTGACAGTATGGTGTATCACTCGTAGTGATAGTGACAGTATGGTGTATCACTACAGTAGTGATGGTGACAGTATGGTGTATCACTACAGTAGTGATAGTGACAGTATGGAGTATCACTACAGTAGTGATGGTGACAGTTGGTGTATCACTAATTAGTGATGGTGACAGTATGGTGTATCACTACAGTAGTGATGGTGACAGTATGGTGTATCACTACAGTAGTGTTGGTGACAGTATTGTGTATCACTACAGTAGTGATGGTGACAGTATGGTGTATCACTACAGTAGTGATGGTGACAGTATGGTGTATCACTACAGTAGTGATGGTGACAGTATTGGTGTATCACTGCAGTAGTGATGGTGACAGTTTTGTTGTATCACTACAGGGGTGAGAGGTGTATCACTACAGGGGTGAGAGTGTCAGCAGCAGCAGTGTCAGCAGCAGCAGTGTCAGCAGCAGCAGTGTCAGCAGCAGCTGTGTCAGCAGCAGCAGTGTCAGCAGCAGCAGTGACGTCACTACCCAGCACACAGTTGGCGGTGTTGCTGGACCTGACTGATGTGTCTGATGATATAGTGAGTCGTGCCTGTGACCTGGCCCAGGAGTTACAACCACCAGGAGGGTGAGTCCATCTCTGTTGTTCTTGTGTTGTGAGTGAGGTGGTCCAGGAGCTACAACCACCATGATGGTGGTGAGGTGGTCAGGAGCTACAACCACCAAAATGGTGAGTGAGGTGGTCCAGGAGCTACAACCACCAGGAGGGTGAGTCCATAACTGTTGTTCTTGTGTTGTGAGTGAGGTGGTCCAGGAGCTACAACCACCAGGATCGTGAATGAGGTGGTCCAGGAGCTACAACCACGAGGATGGTGAGTGAGGTGGTCCAGGAGCAACAACCACCATGATTGTGAGTGAGGTGGTCCAGGAGCTACAACCACCAGAATGGTGAGTGAGGTGGTCCAGGAGCTACAACCACCAGGATGGTGAGTGATGTGGTCCAGAGCTACACACAAAGGTGGTGAGTGAGGTGTTCCAGGAGGCTACAACCACCAGTGAATGGTGAGGAGGTGGTCCAGGAGCTACAACCACCAGGATGGTGATGTGACGTTGAGTCCAGGAGCTAACAACCACCAGGATGTGAGTGTGGTGTCCAGGAAGCTACAACACAAGGTTGGTGAGTGAGGTGGTTCCACGAGCTACAACCGCTTATCCCCGTCAAAGTACCATGATAGTAGGGCTATAATGGGAATCTAACTTGGACACAAAAGTAGCTTACCCACTCAAGTCAATTACGTCATCAGACGAGGAAGAGGGTAAGCATCGTAATGGTGACCTCGTTCCACCTTACGGTAGTCTGTACACATACGAAACCCTCCATCAGCCTTCTTACAAGGCATGCCGGTTGAAGCCATGGGACTAGACGACTCCTCCACTAAACCATGCCTTTAAACAAAAAGTCTGCTTCCTGCTGAAGTAGCCTTATTGCTTTTTAAGGATTAGCTCTGTAGGGGGAGATTTAATTGGTTTAGAGTTTCCCACATCTACACCATGATAACCTAACCTTACATTTTTTCGGCAATCGAAAAAATATTAGGATATGACTGATAGAAGCTCCGTTAAATTTGTGCTTGCATTTCGAATAATCCCTAATTAAAGGGCTAGGATCCTTGAGCGTAGGACAGTATTTGAAAGTTTATATTTAATTTCAGAGATAGAGTGCAAAGAGTACAGAGGCGTCCTCAGAGGATAGGGGACAGTGTCATTACTGGACTTTATCTGCTGTATGAAAGGCCTGATTTGATTAATGTGGTAGTTTTAGTTTTTGAGGTCGGTCTTATCAAGGGAGCTACCACATAATTTACATCAGATAATTTACTTACAATTTGCATAGGTTCCCGTTAATCTAGCTTTTCAAGGTGTGGCCAGTATTAGTTCCATGCACCAACATCATTGTCACTGGAGGAAAGGAGCGGAATGTGCACTTCTGTCATACCTCTGTTTCATCTTACTTTGAGCTGTCTTTTCGGTTAGCCTTGGCTAATGAGTACGTTGCCACCTGCAACCTTGAAGACGGATTGTAGAGTGTTGAGCTTAACGGTACTTCTCCCATCCATCCTTCTTTGAGCATCCGAAGCAGGACTCTCGTACATTGTGCCCAAAGTTCAGTCAAAAGGGCTATACCCTGTAGACTCTTGCACCGTCTCTAGTACTAAGAACAGCAAAAAGGGTACGTGATAATCCCAGTCTGTACGGAAAGGTGCATGCAAAAACTTTCATCATTGTTTTTTAATGCTCTGGTGGAATCTTTCCAAGGGCGCCTTGGGACTGAGGTTGATTAGGCAGTGGATAAGTTCGTGGATTATCCCCTAACCTAGTTAATACTTCCCTAAATGCGTGGGCACGTGAGTAGTACCTTGATCAATTTGAATAGTTTTAGGAATGCCAAAACAGAAATGAATTTTGTTAATAAAGCTTTGTGATAGCTTTAGTAATAATACTACGCATGGGTATTGCTTAAGGATATTCTGGTTACTTTATCCTAATCGTAAAATAAATATTGATTTCCAGACTTTGACCTAGGTAGGTGGGACACTAACATTATATAATTAAAATCTGCAAAAAGGTTCTCCATCAAGTAGGTACAGGTCTGGAGATCGGTGCTCATAGCGTTTAATGGAATGTCCAGGTTTTTCCAACTTCTGACATTCTCGGCAACACCTAATATGATTTTCACATCTTTCTTTAATTTTGGCCTAAATTAGATTTCTTTGTGATTCTATACAAGGTTTTTGTAATTCCTCAAGTGACCTCCTAATGACGTGTTATGAGCTATATTTAATATTTAGAGGTTCTTATACTTTGTTGACCACTACACCTGTCATACAATTGCCGGCCCTCTATCTCCTTACAGTCTCAGTGCAGATACAATAATTGTTTTTAACTTCATACTTGAACGGATGACCCAAAAGGATTTACCCATGGCTGCCTCAATAAAGCGATATTTTAAAGAAGGGTCCTTTCGTTGTTCCATCCGAAAAGGACAGTCCTTCGGGCATGGAAAAGAGACATCTGCCAATCCAGCAACCTGGGAATTGGATAGGCTGATCGGGGTCTGTTCACTTGATTTACGAGCTCCGGCGGCGTGCTGTGCCTCATAAACAACGGGGCTATTCCGAGACTGAGTCGTCCAGGATAGGTCAACATTCTCTCCAGACAAAACCTTGGGATGTTGGCACCGAGTTAATGGCCATATCACCGGAGAAGAATTAATCATTATAGGTCAGGACACGAACTAAAACAAGTAGTAATTTATTACCCAGTATAACATTGCATCTTTCATGGGGAATCCTTTTGAGGACACCTCAGTTCAAGTACCCAGTGTAATAATTCTGCACTGTACATAAATTTTATGCAAAGGAACTGTATATATAGCTCCTACCAAATGCTTCCAATAAAACAGAGGAATTCAAAGAAGTATTCTCTGTAAGGCGAGTGTGTAATAGTCCTTCTTACAAGTGCAGCAATATGCCTCCAGTATCTCTAAGGTCTTTACTTTAAGTTGTTCTGAGTTTTCCTGAAGGAAATAAGACTCTTGCCAATAATAAGGAGGCATATCTTTTCTACTTCTCTAGGGGACATGTTACTAGGATATATGAAGAGATTTTCCCAATGGGGGTTGGGGTTTATGGGGGCAGTTGGGACGGATGTGACTACTTTGTTGCAGAGGAAGCAGACGACGCTTGCCCTTTACTCCCTGCTGACGTTGCAAATGGTTCGTTCTGGACTGGTGTCTCTCTGGATAACTGTGTTGTCGAGATGCACCATGGAGTTAGTTTGCCTCCTCCGCAGGTGGACCAATGTTGAGGACGCGTGGCTCACCAGGTGACTGGTTTGCTGACGTAGACGTTCTCCCTCCGGCTGGCACTCCATTTCCAGGGTTGACGATCTCTGCTCATGCCTGGCTGTTGAAAAGAGAGACGGGACCGCTGGACAGGAGCGGTTAGTTTCGAAGGTATCAGCCAACCTTGGATGCCTCCAATGCAGTGGGTTAATCACGATCTGCAGAAAGACTCGAACCTTGGTCCCACAGACTCCAGTCAGGTTATCACAATCAGAACAAGCTGTACCAGACTCCTCAAGGTAGAGACACAACTTGCTTTATTCCAGCTGGTGTAAAAGCTTTGGTTTGTCGTTCTCACAAGTCACCACTAGGGGATTGACCAGCTGTCGTCCCTGCCCTGCTTTAAAATTTTTTATATATTTAGCTGGGGGATACATGATATATGCTCCCAATCACTGTTTGTCTTCTCATACTGGATAATCAGGCAAATTCAGAGGGTTAATTTAATACTGACGTAAATTCCTGTGCCTTACCAATAATGCTGTATGAACCAACGATGACCAATGCTGTATCTGGCCACTCAAGGCTCAGAGCTGATTTTCGAAAGTTTCGAAAAATTGCTTCTGGTTAGGCCTCATTTGAAGCGGGGAAGCTAACTGTTACTGCTTTTTGTAAACTAAAATCATTTACAGAATGCGAAAACTGCCTCCTTTCTCTTTCCCTATCATATTTTCTTCCCTGTGAATGTCTTGTTCCCTAGTTTGTCAAGATTGATTTTTGCAGTCAATGCTCAACGACGCTGATTCACCCTGAGGACAACCAGCCTGCACTAATACTGACATTTTGCTCCGTAGGTGTACCATCTTCCTCCATGCGAGAACATAGTAGTTTTTTGCCCTAGCTCCGTAGAGGGAGGAGTTGATTGTGCCATCTCTTCTTCTATAAGTTTGTTAGTTATCAGTGAACGCATTTGCGCAACTGTGAGAGTGCGTTTGTATTTATGCAATGGAACGAGCAATTTGCCAACACGCTGTGGGACAATTTAGGTAGGTTATGCAAAGTATATGCGGACACCAGACGTCTGACTCGTCTAGGTGGCATAAGTTATTCGCTATGCCACAGTACGATTGCTAAGAATACGCATACAAGCAAAGCGACTGCAAAATTTCCACACGACAGGCTAGTAACAACTGACACGCAAAATTTGTAAGCAAATGCCAGGCAGCTACACTGTTCCTAGAAGATTGGACCGTAGCGAAGCGAGCACCCCGAACAAGCTAGGATAGCGAGCTGTTGAAACGATCTCACAAATAGCAAGGCTGACCATAAAGCAACTGACACGCAAAATTTTTGAAAAGCAATGCCAGAAGCAAAGCTGCACAATGTTCCTGCTACGAGCTTCACCCTAAACTCAACCTGTTTCTCTAAGTCCAGCTCCAGCTCTCGGACAGGCTACCCATATTTCAAACCCAGGATTACAAATGGCCTGTTACCCTGGTTTAATGGGAGCAAAATTAACACAGCAGAAAAAGTTTAGACTTATATTATCCTTCAACCAATTTATGAACAGCAATATGTTCACTATGTACAGTGATAAGTATAAGTGCACTCCACGGTAAGCAAGCAGAAATAGAAGCACAAGATAGCAGACCGTGTTCAACCAGCTCTAGAATGGGAATGAAAGGGCAGACAGGAGAGCGGTACCCACATAACCTCTGCGATTGCCAAAACCATCTTCTTATTGGCTAGAACCTGGCTCACTGTTGAACGACGGGGCCCCATCA